ACACTGCACGATTTTCAAAGACGTCGCATCACTGTTGGTTTCACACTGAACGACTATCTGGGGTAGCATTCAGCTGTTGCTGTGTTCACACTGCACGATGGAACGACGTCAGGAGGTTACACACTGCATGACTTTACAATAGGAAGAATCGCCGACAGCTCTGTCTGGTCCACAAACTACGTTTCACAACAAAACACACACGAGAAGTGAGAAGGAAATAACGTGAGAACCCGCGTGCGTCAGACCGGAGTTCTCCAGCTAGACTGTAATTTTTTTTTTTAATATATATATATATATGTGTCGGGCATTTGTCGGCGATTTCACAAAACCTGTCGGCGAGTGAAAAATCAGGCTAAAATTGTGCAGTGTGAATTCGGCATTAGCGGCGGTTGAACACATGAGCGTCTACACTACCAAAGCAATCTGGTTGAATGTGAGGCGTTCACACTGACCAATCCGCAGATCCCAGCTTCCTCCGCTGTACTCCGTGTGTGAGATTTAGCAGAGCGCTGGTGAAAACACGTCTCAGCCTGCAGGCCTTGATCACTGTCAGCACCGTCGGGAACTCAAACGAGGTAAGAAAGATCATTGGAAGCAGAAAACAAATGTCTTTGTTGATGTTCAATTCTTATGCCGAGCATCTCCCTCCTGCATAATCTGTTTTTCTTTTTCTCCTTGTAGCTGGAAATCAGCTCACAGACAATTTGCGGGCTATATATATATATTCATGATTACAGTCTCGCTGGAGAACTCCGGTCTGACGCACGTGGGTTCTCGCGTTATTTCCTTCTCACTTCTCGCGTGTGTTTTGTTGTGAAACGTAGTTTGCGGACCAGACAGAGCTGTCGGCGATTCTTCCTATTGTGAAGTCATGCAGTGTGTAACCTCCTGTCGCCGATCCATCGTGCAGTGTGAACACAGCAGCAACTGAATGCTACCCCAGATAGTCACGCAGTGTGAAAACAACGGCGATCCGACGAGTGTGAAAATCGTGCCGTGTGAACTCGGCATAAGTGTAGTCAGTTCTAGTCTCTGTTCTCCAGTTCACCTGAATCCGCAGTTCTTTATGATCACTTTTCAGGTTTTGTGTTATTGTATTTGCTGACTTCTGAATTATTGTCAGTGGATTTTTCAGATCAAAGCACAAGCTTGTCATCAATGAGAATGACTTTAATGAATGAGGAAGCTGGTTATTCAGACTGCAGTACATCAGCGCCACCTGGTGGTCTGCCAAACGACTCAGGAAATACTAATCATAACTAGATATATTTTATAGATATATATTTGATAGATATTCAGTGTAATCAGCAGACAAACAGAGTCTGTGTGTGTGTATCTGTGTGTGTGTGTATATCTGTGTGTGTGTGTGTGTGTCTGTATATGTGTGTGTGTGTGTGTGTGTGTGTGTGTGTGTGTGTGTGTGTGGTCAAACTCTGTGTCCATAGTATTCGTCGTATGGCTCGTTGATGTTGGTGGTCGTGGGTCGAGGGATGCTGTAATCTTTCTCTGCATTGAGTTCCTGAAACATGAAACACACAGCGGATTAATCACATGACAGTGACATCATCAGCCGTTCAGTGCTGCAGGATGGTGATTGGATGATGAGAACTCACTCTCATGAAGATTCCAGACGACGACACATCTTCACCTGCAACACAAACATGTGACCTTTAACCTCTGCCAGTCATAGGGAGCAACTTTGTTGACTGATCTTGCTCAGTGCATGCTGGGATTGGGTTATTCAGGACAGAGACTGTAAGATCGGGTATTTGATGAGCACATTCTCTCAGCTGTTTTCAGAGAATGTGTCTTTAATATGAATGTTTGTAAGGATGGGGATTGAATGCCCTGATTGTTCCAGTAAAAGATTCAAAACCTCGACATGTGAAGAACAGCGCCATCTGCTGCTCGTAAAGTTTAAAGCCTGGACATATATATTTTATAAACCTAAAATGTTCCTAGATATAATTTCTTAGCAAAGTATGTAAGCCTGATGCTGGAGCCTTGTGTCGTACGTAACATCACAAGTGTATTTTTTTCACTGCACTGGCAGATTCTTTCACGTGTTTCAGGTTTAAACATGTTAAAAACAACTGTATGGAGAATGCAGAATACACTCCTATTAAAGACACAATCAGTGAAAACAAGCCAGAACATCCCATGCAATGTGGCTTCACGAGTATCTGACTCCTCTGTTACCTCTCCTCGCGTCCGCGTCCGTCTGGAAGCCCTCGTTGTCGGTGCCGGTCTTCAGGTCCGGTGGAGCCGCTGGCTGTGTTCTGGGGCTTGTCCAGCCCGTGAAGTCCAGCGGCGGATCTTTGGTACGAGCGTTGCTCTTGCACATGAAGCGGACCTGAGTGAAGCCATGTCCCAGCAGCAGCACCCAGCCGTTAGCGGTCAGCGCCACACTGATCACGGGGTCGTCCCAGAGCGGGCTGCGGCCCATGGCATGGTTCCCGTATGTGAGGAGCGTGATCCAGATGAGCCACACGCAGGCACTCAGCAGCAGCGTCAGGACCAGCAACGCTGCCTGCAGTTTGTTCTGCCGATGCGTGCTTCCGCTGTCGCTGTAGCTGTAGGTGACGCAGGTGTACCGGAGGAAGTGCAGCGCCGTCATCAGCGCCGCGGCTAACAGCACCATCACATAAATCTGCAGCATGGCAAACTCTGGCTGTGAAAACTGGCAGGTCCTCTTGTCCTGCACCAGCACCACCAGCAGCCACTCCGTCACTACGATCACCTGCACCAGTGCGAGCGCCGCGGCCACAGCAACCTCCCTCCAACCGCGCGCCAGCGCCACCCCGAGCAGAGCCAGACCGCGCGCCAGCAGAGCACCGAACGCCAGGCTGAACAGCACGCCGAGCGCAAACACCCGCACCGGACACGTCTGCGGCGACAGAGCGATGATGAAGGAGTAGGGAAGGGCGAATATACCCGCCGTGGCCAGCAGGAAGAGCAGCAGCGCCGCCAGAGCACCGGACCGACGGCGGGATGCACACGCCGACCACAGCAGCAGAGCCAGCATCAGCACCACGCAGCTGACCAAACCCACGCCCGCCACGGCCTGCACCACGATCCCCCACGTGTCACACAGCGGCCAGTACTCCTGAGCCAGAGCAGAGCCGCAGCCCACGGGCCGAGAGCCGTTCCACCACTGAACCCGCACCAGAAGCTCCATGACAATGGATCTGATCGATGGTGAAGCGCTTTTTCTCTTCTCTCTCTAATGCTCACAGTGATCTGCAGGAAAGACAGAGAACTTTCAGTGACTTTTGATTCAAATATCTGTTTTCACCACAGAACCAGAGAAAGTCACCAGAATGATTTTTCAATATAAAGTCAAGTCAGCTTTGTTTCTATAGCTGCTTTGACACAATCTTTATTGTATAAAGCACTATACAGATAAAGGTGAGTTGACTTGACTATAGCGCTTTATACAATAAAGATTGTGTCAAAGCAGCTTCACAGTGATAAAAAGGAAAATAACAGAAACAGCTGAGAAAGTCTAGCCTGAAAGTTTGAATTGGTTGTAAAAGCATGAAGTTTGAAACAGTTTTAAATTTTGAAAGTTTAGGGTGTTGTAGGTGGTTGCTACACAGTTGCTAGGGTACTCTGAGTGGTTGCTAGGTTGTTATGGGTGGTTGCTATGCATTTGCTAAGGTGTTTCTATGCGGGTGCTAGGGTGTTTCATGTGGTTGTTAGGTGGTTTCTAGGGTGTCTCTAGGTGGTTGCCAGGGTTTTCTGGGTGGTTACTAGGCCGTTGCTATGTGGTTGCTAGGGTAATCTGAGTGGTTGTTAGGTTGTTATCGGTGGTTGCTAGGGTACTTTGGGTGGTTGCTATGCATTTGCTAAGGTGTTTCTATGCGGGTGCTAGGGTGTTTCATGTGGTTGTTAGGTGGTTTCTAGGGTGTCTCTAGGCGGTTGCCAGGGTTTTCTGGGTGTTTACTAGGCCGTTGCTATGTGGTTACTAGGGTACTCTGAGTGGTTGCTAGGTTGTTATGGGTGGTTGCTAGGGCACTTTAGGTGGTTGCTATGCATTTGCTAAGGTGTTTCTATGCGGGTGCTAGGGTGTTTCATGTGTTTGTTAGGTGGTTTCTAGGGTGTCTCTAGGCGGTTGCCAGGGTTTTCTGGGTGGTTACTAGGCCGTTGCTATGTGGTTGCTATGGTATTCTGAGTGGTTGCTAGGTTGTTATGGGTGGTTGCTAGGGTACTTTGGGTGGTTGATATACATTTGCTAAGGCGTTTCTATGCGGGTGCTAGGGTGCTTTAGGTGGTTTCTAGGGTGTCTCTAGGCGGTTGCCAGGGTTTTCTAGGTGGTTACTAGGCCATTGCTATGTGGTTGCTAGGGTACTCTGAGTGATTGCTAGGTTGTTATGGGTGCTTGCTAGGGTACTTTGGGTGGTTGCTATGTATTTGCTAAGGCGTTTCTATGCGGGTGCTAGGGTGTTTCATGTGGTTGTTAGGTGGTTTCTAGGGTATCTCTAGGCAGTTGCCAGGGTTTTCTGGGTGGTTACTAGGCCGTTGCTATGTGGTTGCTAGGGTACTCTGAGTGGTTGCTACGTTGTTATGGGTGGTTGCTAGGGCACTTTGGGTGGTTGCTATGCATTTGCTAAGGTGTTTCTATGCAGGTGCTAGTGTGTTTCATGTGGTTGTTAGGTGGTTTCTAGGGTGTCTCTAGGTGGTTGCCAGGGTTTTCTGGGTGTTTATTAGGCCGTTGCTATGTGGTTGCTAGGGTACTCTGAGTGGTTGCTAGGTTGTTATGGGTGGTTGCTAGGGCACTTTAGGTGGTTGCTATGCATTTGCTAAGGTGTTTCTATGCGGGTGCTAGGGTGTTTCATGTGTTTGTTAGGTGGTTTCTAGGGTGTCTCTAGGCGGTTGCCAGGGTTTTTTGGGTGTTTACTAGGCCGTTGCTATGTGGTTGTTAGGGTACTCTCGGCGGTTGCTAGGCAGCTTCTAGGGTGTTCTGGGTGGTTGCTAGCATTCTAGCATTTTTAGCACACTGCTAACATCCTTTAGCATGTTGTTATGTCCTAGGCATTAAAAATGCCTTTTGAGTCATTTTTAATCATTTTAATGCTTCTTGGGTTAATAAGAGTATATTATCTTTAACTTTAAGTATTACACTTGTGTGTGTGTAGTTTTTGTGTTCGGCCAGGACGGTAAATGTTGAGGATCCAGCTGGTGAAGTGCTGATGGAGACGGATGTGTTGTTCTTCCTCTCCAGGACAAAAGCTCAGTTGTGATGCTGTTATCAGTGATTTTATCTTCTGCTTTAACAAATGTCTTTCCTGCTAGAGATCATCTTCACTCTTTCACTTGTTTCACATCATTTCTCCTTTGGGTTTGTCATCTGGCAGCAGCTACAATAGTTTAGAAATGTTTAGAAATGATTTGCTGCTTTTGTATCTGGCATGTGTGTGTGTGTTGTGTGAGTGTGTGTGTGTGTGTGTGTGTCGTAGTGACGACTGATCTGAATAAACCAAGCAGCTAATGAATCCCGGATCTTTACATGACATGAAACCTGTTGTCTGATTGAAGGAAAAAATGTGTTTTTCTTGAGCAGCAGTGTAAAAAAGTTTTAAACTTTAATCACAACACACACACAGACTCACACACACAGCAGACATGATTTACAGTTCATAGTTATGAATATTGTGACCGGACTGTCACCTGATTTCCTTCATTCATCCTCTGTAAGACTGATAGTATTTAGAGATGAAAGTGTCGTACCTGCAGCCTGTCGCTCCGTCCATCACAGACCCTCACACACCGTCTGTCTCTGTGTCTCTCTGTGTGTGTGTGTTTGTGTGTGTGTGTGTGAGGTGAAGGATGGGAGGAGCAGAGAGACGCGCGGATGATGAAGTCAACAGATTTGTTTCTACTCTTCCTGAATTTACATTATGTGTGTGAACAGCCTCTCTCTCACTCACTTTCTCACACACACACATCAGTCATTCTTGACATGAATCAGTATGTTAATGGGTTTTTCATAATGGTGTTTAATGAAATTCATTGTTGTGTTATGAAATTTGCTTTTATTCTACTGCAATAAGGCCAACAGAGTTACTGAAAATAGAAAGTTTAATTGGATTTCTACTCCGGTAATCACACATGGCACATTTAATAAAATAAATGTGTTTATGGGACAGACTCTACGAGACAGAGGAAGTGATGTCACCAGGAAACACGCCTTCTGTAATATATTAGAGTTAAGGGCGGAGTCGCAGCTAGGGGCGTGTCTTAACCCTGATGACTATTTTTCAGGATGTTGATTGACAGCTGGGGTGTGGGAGGGGATAAGTTGTCATCTTATCGCAACATATACAAAATATAAAATATTTTATAATAATAACAATAACAATCATATCAATAATGACAGTGTCCATGTGTTGAATCAGCCCTTTATCATCACACAACATCATAACTACATGACAACATTGAGCAAAAGGGGTGGGACCACTGGATGAGAGGGGCGGGGCTGAAGGCGGTGATGTTGAGGAGGCGGGGTTTAGATAATGCCGTATTTGGCCAGATCGCTGAGCTCCATGTCTCCGAATGCCTCCCATGGGCACACGACAGTGATATCTGTCACGAGACGAGACACAGGCGTTAACAAACTGAACACAGGGTGTGTGTGTGTGTGTGTGTGTGTGTGTGTGTGTGGG